ACGAACTTGTAGCATGTGCGCAATCAGTCAATTATATTGCTAAATGTATGGAAGAAATTGACCAAGCAAATATTTCTGATGGTGATACGATGATGACTGAACCAAATGTCATGAAATGAGGCATCTGATCTCTGGATATTTTACGAGAATCTTGTTGAAGGACAAGTTGCAAATAAAAATGAAAGAAATCAAGATAAAATGCCAACCAATTTAAACCATTACTTATATCAATTACCAGCAAAGTTGAAAGAAAATCCAATGTCCTCTCTCTATTGATCTAAGCCAGAGCTGTCCACATTTTGCTCTTTTCGGCCGATTTCCGAGATTCACCGCCCAGCGACCCCCACTCGCGCTCGAGGCCTTAGCAACGCGTTGACCGATAGCCGTAACTAACAAGGGGACACTACACCCAGTACATCGAGAATCAGGATGCCAATTTTTTGGTGATTCTAGAGGTCAAAAAAAGGTATACGTGTTTCGGCGTTTTGTCGAATGCTCCGTAGTTTTCGAGTAAAAAATTTTTAAAAAATCGAAAAGTGCAGCAGCGATTAAGAGCTAACTCGTAGGTCGCAAGTTCGAGTCCGTGTCTTGTTACTTTTTTTTTGTTTTATCTTACTAGTTTTGAAAAAAGTGTTGTTGTTTAAATATATTTATTTATTTATTTAATTAAATTATTACGTTAAAAAATTTTTTTTTTCAAATATTTTGTTTTATATCTTATTTTTATTTTAATTATATTTGTCATTACATTACCTGCATACACAAAAATACTTGTGACAAAATTTTTCCTGAAGCAGTTATTGCATATTGGGCCGTATATGAATGCGTAATTTTATTAAATTCTTCTAAAAAAACTTCTGTAGTTTTTCGCCTTTATCGGAGAGAATTCGTCGCACATCAGCGCGGTACTTGCAACCAGTTTGATCAGTGTTTATAATGAAGTCCCTTTGAAATTTTACAATTTGTTTAGCGATGCGATTTTGAAATATTTTCGCTTCATTTAATATTTGTGATATATCTAATGCATTTTTCGATTTAATGTATCGCGTTACTTTTCTTTGCCGAATCCGAAATGTTGATTTAAATTTGATTGCCCATGACTCGGATGCTGCAAACTCGAAATTTTCAAATTGTACTGCTGCTTGGGAAGCCCATTCTCTCAACATCCTCGTTGTTACTGGCTTTTTTTCCTTCCTGGCTTCTCGAAACGATCAAAAGTCCATTTGTTTATTGTATCATATTTTTCTGCATTGCCACCACCACGCTCGATGTCTCGACGCCATGCAGTTAACTGACTTTTACTTTAAGCGCTCTTCCTCCACGTTCATGAATGGTCTTCAAATTCCACTTGGGTGTTTTCTTACCATATTGACGATTTTTATTTTTGTTTCTAATGGGATAAAATTCACAATCTTTTGCTTCTTTTTTTCCGGTTCGTAATCACTTTCTTCTTGCGAGAGAACTGACGTACTGGATGAATATGTGCTACAAGTACCTGCTTCCTCCGGTAATGAATTGCATGGTTCCGATTCTTCTAATTTGTCTGCCGAAACATCTTCTTCCGAAAGAAAAAGATTATGATCTTCGTAAAAATCGAAGTCCTTTATAACATTAATACAGGCTTCGGCCATTTTCTTTCCCAGTAATATTGCTTTATTGCTAGTAATGATATCATTTGGAGTTTCTTCACAAATTTTTAAGGATTTTAACGTATTAACACAAACTTTCAAACCGTCCGTAATGTCTTGTTTTACATAAGATGTCATAAATGAAAAGTCTTTATAAATACTATTTCCGCTAGTAGATGGTTCATAAATGATATTACTTTTAATTTTGGACATTTTGGAAATTTACTTTTTTTATTCAATAAATATAATCTTTACTGCAGCCGATTGCAATCATGTATGGCGTTGCTAGGATATAATATAAATTCTATGGTTTTAACACACTATTTTTCTTGTGTACGCTCTAATATTAGAATTTATATTATCATAGCAACACCATATATAATTGCAAACGGCTGCAGTGAAGATATATCTGTTGAATAAAAAAGTGACTTTCCAAAATGTCCGAAATTAAAAGTAATACCATTTATGACCATCTACTAGCGGAAATAGTATTTATAAGACTTTTCATTGTATGACATCTTATGTAAAACAAGACATTACGGACGGTTTGAAAGTTTGTGTTAATACGTTTAAATCCTTAAAATTTGTGAAGAAGAAGAACTCCAAATGATATCATTACTAGCAATAAAGCAATATTACTGGGAAAGAAAATGACCGAAGCCTATATTAAGTTATGAAGGACTTCGATTTTTACGAAGATCATAATCTTTTTCTTCGGAAGAAGATGTTTCGGCAGACGAATTAGAAGAATCGGAACCATGCAATTCATCACCGGAGGAAGCAGAGTACTGTAGCACATGTTCATCCAGTACGTCAGTTCTCTCGGCAAGAAGAAAGTGATTACGAACCGGAAAAAAAGAAGCAAAAGATTGTGAATTTTATCCATTATTAGAAACAAAAATAAAAATCGTCAATATGGTAAGAGAACACCCAAGTGGAATTGAAGACCATTCATGAACGTGGAGGAAGAGCGCTTAAAGTAAAAGTCAGTTAACTGCATGGCGTCGAGACATCGAGCGTGGTGGTGGCAATACAGAAAATATGATACAAATAACAAATGGACTTTTGATCGTTTTCGAGAAGCCAGGAAGGAAAAAAAAGCCAGTAACAACGAGGATGTTGAGAGAATGGGCTTCCCAAGCAGCAGTACAATTTGAAAATTTCGAGTTTGCAGCATCCGAGTCATGGGCAATCAATTTAAATCAACATTTCGGATTCGGCAAAGAAAAGTAACGCGATACATTAAATCAAAAATGCATTAGATATATCACAAATATTAAATGAAGCGAAAATTTCAAAATCGCATCGCTAAACAAATTGTAAAATTTCAAAGGGACTTCATTATAAACACTGATCAAACTGGTGCGAGTACCGCGCTGATGTGCGACGAATTCTCTCCGATAAAGGCGAAAAAAACTACAGAAGTTTTTTTAGGAGATTTTAATAAAATTACGCATTCATATACGGCCCAATATGCAATAACTGCTTCAGGAAAAATTTTGCCACAAGTTTTTGTGTATGCAGGAACCGAAGGGAACCATTGGCCTCGGTCTCGGAGGCGATTAAAATATATCAGAAATCTATGGCAAGTACATATTACCGCCTCAAATTCAGGAAAATTGACGAAACCCACTTTGTTGAATTCGTCAATCATATCATCAAACCCTATTGCAATCAAGAGGAGTAGTTCCTGACTCATTTTGGATTCGTGGGGAGGACAAACAGACACAGCCACACTTCAACAGTGTCTTCACTGATGATGAAGGCAATTGTAACTTCAACGGTGGAAATTATTCCTCCNGGATCCGTGGGGAGGACAAACAGACACAGCACACTTCAACAGTGTCTTCACTGATGATGAAAGCAATTGTACTTCAACGGTGGAAATTATTCCTCCGCACTGTACGCCATACTGCCAACCATGTGACGTGTACTTTTTTCGGCAGGTGAAAAATTTATCAAAAGAATTCAAAATTCTGTAGAAGTCTGCAAAGTAACCGACAGCTCTCTTCGCGCGAAGATGCTATCAAAAATACACTCATTAATTCACTCGCAACTTTCTTCAAACTTATTTAATGAAATAATTGAGTACGCGTGGTTTGCGTCAAAATTAATTCCGACGAGAAACGTATTCGCAAACGTTAATCAGATCTCCTTTCCACGGAAGTAAGAAAAAATAAATGTACATGTGGGGAACTTTCTTTTATTCATTGCGCAAATTGTCGCCGATTATTTGTTTCAACTGTTTTTACGATGTATATCACCCCAGTAAATGTTCTGCAACAAGTGTTAATCAGTAAATATTTGTAAACAAATTTTATCTTTTCTTATTTTCTTTCCCAATGTATTTGTACTGTATACAATTAATTAAAACTAATAATTCTTTAAAAAAATATTACCGAATATGTGTTTGAAATAAATAAAACAAACAAATTGAGCAAACGCAGATAGTATAAAAATAATAAAATTACAAAATATAAATAAAATTTAAATTATATATACATATACATATATATAATATATAATAATGACAAATATAATTTAAATAAAAATAAGATATAAAAACAAAAATATTGAAAAAAAAATTTTTAACGTAATAATTTTATTAAATAAATAAATAAATATATTTAAACAACAATACTTTTTCAAAACTAGTAAGATAAACAAAAAAAAAAGTAACAAGACACGGATCGAACTTGCGACCTACGAGTTAGCTCTTAATCGCTGCTGCACTTTTCGATTTTTTAAAAATTTTTACTCGAAAACTACGGAGCATTCGACAAAACGCCGAAACACGTATACTTTTTTTGACCTCTGAGGATCACCAAAAAAATTGGCATCCTGATTCTCGATGTACTGGGTGTAGTGTCCCCTTGTCAGTAGATTTTCGGAATTTGCGTGCAGCCGTTCTTCGCGAGTTTGTTAATATTTTATTTTCGACTCGGCGAGAGAGTCGAGCGAGAGAGTCACGAAATTGCCGTTGTTTATTTGTTACCTTTTGTTTTGGATACCGCGCCGTGTCTCGAATTTATAATTTTGTCCTCTATATGTACCGCCCAGATAACACACGATGTTCTATGAATATTCTTATTAAATGTAAATGTTCTTAATTTCGGAATATTCGCATTGAATATTATATAAATATACATAGAATATTCCCAGATAGCACATAATGTTTTATAATATTCTTAAAAATGCAAATATTCTTAATTTCGGAATATTTTAATTGAATATTATATAAATATACATAGAATATTATAATCAGAATCGGATTATTTCAACAAAGAAGAACGTTCTAAGAATATTTTTCGAGTTTATTTATTGCACATTGTTAAGTGCAACATGCGCATTTATCATCCTTATGATGATATACTTAACTCGATACCGGTCTTCTTTGCCGTGCTACATGTCCATATATTATTCTTGTGTTGCTTCGTATTGCTGCTTATACGAAACTTTTAATCACATTTTAATCAGAGGTAAGTGTCTTTTCACTTTTATTAATTTATTATATAAAATTAAATAAGGTTTAAGAATATTTTTATAATTTTTACATCATTGTTAGAATCAAACATTTCAGTAAATATAAGGTTATATTTTTATAAAGTCGGACATAAAATATTTCTTTTTATTGTAGCACTAATACAAGGAAACTTTATTATCGCAATCATAAGGAAAACCGAAGAATGTGAGACGTTTTTATGGTAAGAATTATTATAAATAAATTTCTTTTTTAATTACAAGCATTTTTTAATTTTAATTTTTATTTTTTGTCTAGCTGAGAACATAAAAAATAAAAAAAAATACTACTAGAGCAAAATATTAGTAAAATATAAACTTAATTTAATAATAAAAATAATTTGCTTACTGAAATTAAAAATGAAACGTCGTTATTCTAAGACTACTTTATACAGAAAAATAAAAGAGGAACAACTGCATGCTTAGAGTTATCACAAGATTGCTCCTTTGATGATAACGATTTATTATTAACATCGAATAGCAATAATAAAAAGGTACTTAATGTAATCGCAGAAAATGTAGAAGACTCAGAATATATTGATGATAACGATGAATTACATTCTTCTACGAATGTGGACTGTTTTGATGATTTTAATTTGTATGATTCGAGTAGCCAATCTTGTGATAATTCTAATGATGTTATTGATTGTAATAATCCAATGTATTTGGAACACACTATTGTAGAAGATAATGCTCAAGATAGTTTTAGTAACAGACTGCGATTATGGGCTGAAGGATAATCGCTCGGATAAGGCGATAATTCGCGGTCGACGTACGGACCAATCGCGAATTGGATTGATTTGTATACGATCGTTTAGCAATCTATATCACGAAATGTTCATGCTCTAGTGAGGCGGTCGCGCTCTCTATATATTTCTCTTGTGTATTACTCTCCCGCTGGTGTTACCTCGTGTGTGCAATGTAAAGAGAGTCGTCGCCAAATATTTCACAATAAACTTATTTTCTTTACTTACGGAAACGGTCCACGAATTACTCAACATGGGCAGTATCTTATAAAATTCCACATAATGCTTTAAAAAGTCTGTTAAAATTATTACAATCAACACCAAATATTAATTTACCTCAAGATCCTAGGACATTACTTTGTACTCCTCGACACATATTTTCCAAATCTGTAGCACCAGGAATTTATTCACATATTGGGATTAAAAATGCAGTTGAGAAACTTATTAATTTCTCAGATAACAAACCAGAAAGAATTAATTTATTAATTAACATTGACGGTTTGCCTCTTAGTAAAAGTTCAAGCAGTCAAATATACCCTATTTTATGCTCATTAGCTGAATATCCTCAATATGTTCTGTAATTGGTATATATCATGGTTATGAGAAACCTAAAAGTGCTAATGACTTTTTATCAGACTTTGTTATAGAAGCTATAGAATTATCGCAACAAGGTTTTACATATGACAATCACAATATATCATTTTGATCAAAGCATTTATTTGTGATGCTCCAGCTAAATCCTTTATTACTTATTGCAAAGGTCATATTGGATTTTTCTCATGTACCAAATGTATGCAGAAAGGAAAATATGTAAAAGGAAGAGTTAGTTTTCCTAAGATTAATTATGAAAAAAGAACAAATGAAAATTTTTGTGACAAAATTCAACCTGAACATCATTTAGAAAGATCAATTTTAGAAAATATACCTAACGTTGATATGATTAACAGCTTTCCTCTTGATTACATGCATTTAATATGTTTAGGTGTAGTAAAAAAAATGATTTTGAATATATGGCTTTTTGGACCTGTTGCACATAAATTATCAAAAACACATATAGAAGAAATTTCAAATTATCTTATTCAGATAAAATCTTGTATTCCATCCAATTTTGCAAGAAAAACACGTTCTCTAAATGAATGTAAACGTTGGAAAGCAACTGAATTTAGATTTTTTTTTATTATATTGTGGTCCAATTGTTTTAAAAAATATTTACCATTTGATAAATATTTACATTTTCTATCTTTACATGCCGCTATTAGAATTTTAATTAGTCTTGAAGCTTACGCAAAATATCTAGATTATGCACAATCATTATTACAATATTTTATAAAACAATTTATAGTTATTTATGGAGAAGAATATATTTCACACAATGTACATGGATTAATTCATATTGTTGATGATAGTAGAATTTTTGGAAATTTAGATTGTTATAGTGCATTTCCTTTTGAAAATTATTTACAATATTAAAAAAATGTGTTAGAAAACCTGATGCTCCATTAGTGCAAATTATAAATCGTATTCAAGAATCACAAAATATATTAATAATTAAACCACAAGAAAAAATACAATTACGAGTAGAACAAGAACATTGTACAGGTCCTTTGCTAGCAGAAAATTTTTCTGCTCAATACAGAAAGCTAACTATAAATGATATTTCATTCAGTTTACGTTTTGGAGATAACTGTTGTTATCTTAAAGATAAAAGTATTATATTAATAGAAAATTTTGTACAAGACAACAATAACTATTATATAATTGGAAGGAAATTTATTAATATAACAGATTTTATTGATGAACCGTTAAAATCTTCAATTTTAAATATATATTTAGTAAATAACCTTAGTGAATTATTAATGTGGTCAGTGAAAGATATTGAAAACAAATTTGTAATTCTTCCATATAATGATGTTCATGTTGTGTTACCTCTTATTCATACGTTTTGTTAATCTTTGTGTAGTAGGGTCAGTTTTACTATCTCTCGTTGACTTAATCGGCTAATTAAATTTCAAAATTATCAACTGCGAAGCACAGACATATCTTATTGTAAATGTGGGTAAAGTTTACATTTACAATAAGATTTCTGTGCTTTACAATTGGTAATTCTTAAATTTAATCGACCAATAATGATTTATACTTATGCTAACTGAAATTTAAATATTATACATATTGTTCGAGATTCGAACGTTTAAAGAACCTGCAGGATAAGAGCATTAAAACATCATTGCGTTAAATTTCATGCAGCCGTTTCATCCCCATGCAACATGCATCATGCATAATTTTAAATTAACATTATTTAAAATAGCGCTCGGCCGCACCGGTATACGTATACCCCGCGCCTGCGAAAAGAAAGCGCTTACGTCAAATCACCGATAATTGTAAACACCGCGGTCGCGCGAGAGGAGATACACTTTAGCCCCGATAACAACAAAAAGATTATTTTTCTAAAAGTAAATAATTACACTAAACGCTCTTTCGACCTCAGCCGAACGATAGAATAAAGAGAATTATTCTCGACTATTCTAGAAACACGGGCCTATAAAAACCTCCTCTCTCGTGATCGCGGCGCTCTTTTCCGATTGCTCGTCGCGTCAAGAGTGTGTTTTTACTGTACGAAAAAGATCGCTTGTCCTTTTCGTTTTACCACGTTTAATTACCGTTGCTTGCGGAACATTTAATTATTAATTACCGACTCGGCTATTTCTTTTGGATTCTCCTAATCAGTTATCTTTTTGTAAATTCTGTCCGGTTTCAGTATTTGTATTTTTCTTTGTTTTAGTTTCAATATAGTTATATTAAACGATACGTGTGTGTCGAGTGTAGTGCTTCGCCGTCTTCTCGCTTCCGACATCCTTATCCTGCCTTCCGTCGCGCACACATATATTACGTTAATACTTATAAATAGATTAAGATAAGAAGATATAGAATAATATTATAATAGAATGGACTGTAGTACATTTTGTGGATGAAGATATGGTTGAAGCCGTACCAATAACATGGTTGCAAGATATTGTATACTATTGGCCACCATATACTGGCAAAAAATTAAACCATGCTATTTCTACTTGTGAGGAGCCAGTATTTGGAACTTGGCGATTATTTAAAATTCGACAATTGGGAAATGGACGTACTTATGGTAATTATGATGCATTCCATTACATGAAAGAAATAAACTTTGTCATATTTATTTTACATTATTTGGCTATACGTGCATATATGTACTATGTATATTATTTATTACAGATAATTTGTTGAAAGCAAGAGCAAAGGCCTCTGTAGCAGAGGATACATCAGATCTGGCATCTGATCTTGATGGCAAAAGAATCCGAAAGAAAAAAAAATCTTTATGATACAATTGAAACACAAAATGCATTGTCGGAAAGTTTGTCTGATAGTGAAGTAGCAGCCCCTGTACAATTTCCCGTTTTACGTAAGAATATAGTTTTTTTATTTAATTAATTTAAAAAAAAAACATTGAAAATAATTTTAATGATTTAACAATTTTTCCACATTTTAACAATACCACTATAATTTTTATATTTTAGAAACAAAAATTAACGTATGTAAAAAAATAGAACCATTAATGTCTAAAAAATCAATAATTATTACCAAAGATATAGAAACTACAATCGATGGCAAAAGAATCCCAAAGAAAAACAAAATCTTTATAATACAAATGAAACACAAAGTACATTGTCCGAAAGTTCGTCTGATAGTTCAATAGCAGAGCCTGTACAATTTCCTGTTTTACGTGAGTATACAGTATCTTTTATTTAATTAATTTTTGTTAAAAAAAAAGCATTGGAAATAATTTTTTAATTTAACAATTTTTCAATACCACTATAATTTTATATTTTAGAAACAAAAACTAACATGTATAAGCAAACAGAACCATCAACGTCTAAAGATAAAAAATCAATAACTATTACCAAAGATGTAGAAACTACAATCAATGAACCGATCAAATCTAATAATGTTAAAAACGTACCTGAAGATACAATAGAAACAGTTCATTGTAATGAGAATAAAACTTATAGCAATCAAAGTGATAAGACAGGTAAATTATTTAAAATTTTAAATTTTAATTATGAATACTGAATATAATGCTAATTATTGTAAAAATTAATTAACAAACAACGCTTTTGTGTATATAATTTATAAATTTTTAGATATTGAATTTAAAGGCAAGTTCTGCGTCAATTACAAATTATTAATTTAAAACAAACTCAAATGTCAGAAGATATACAAACAATTATGACTAAAATTGTTATGCAAGATAATGATAAAATATTAACAAAACATGACAAGGAAAGTATCTTTAACAAATTTGCTTTTCCTTTAAAAAGTATAAACGAACTTGATACAGTAGAAGAGTTTTTAAGTGATGAAACTAATTATAATCTGCTTGTAAGTAATGAGATAATATACTGTGAAATAGAATTAATTTTATTTTATCTCTGATATTTAATACAATATTTCCCATAAATTTTTGTTCTCTATATAAATGCAAAAAGCCTTTAAATTACACATTACATAAAATTTTTTTAAAAATTAGAAGTTAAACAAAAATATCTTTCTTTAGCAACTTTTACTTTATTCTTTATTTATAGATTTCATAAACAATCTGCACTTCTATATTGATTTTTATATTTGAAAGCATAATCTTATCTTTAAAATGTATATTTATTTGTTTTTGTAATGCAATTTTTTAAGGATGGTATAGACATATGACAAATGATAAATGACAAATGTTGTAATCATCATTGATCTACAAAAAACTTATATTAAATTTTTTATATTTTTTATGTTTATAACTGCTTTCTAATATAAGAGAATAAAAGATAAAAAAATATATGTATTCAAGTTTACAATAAAAAGTTTTTAAAAAATTTTTTCTCACATTTTACTCTTATATTTATCTCCAAAATTTGAAAATATTTGTGAGACTCAAATGTATAAAGGCCGGATTCAAATGCAAGAATTTAAGTGAAATAATATATTTTGCATATCAGAGACAAAATTACATATGATCATCACATATGATTAAAATAATAATTCTTTTATTTTTATCATAGTATATAATTATCATAATATATATATATAATTATAACATAGTATATTATAAATGATAATCCTTAAGAGTCGCCAGTAATAAATAATGAAAATCTCTCCTCCAATTTTAAAGTCGACCAGACGGCAATAATTTATTTTAAATAATTAGTTTAATTTACAACGTTTCGGTTTGTATGATTAAGCGCATTAAGATTATATTTATATGTATATAATTGTTTATAGATTACTTGAAAAGGGCTGCAATGACAGCCGAAACGTTGTAAATTAAACTAATTATTTAAAATAAATTATTGCCAGTCTGGTCGACTTTAAAATTGGAGGAGAGATTTTCATAGTATATTATATAACATAGTATATTATACATTAGATACAGAGTTAACAAAAATTGGTGGACTTACTTACAAGCATATGGTAAAAAGAATAATGTCTAAATTATTTTCCAATGAAGTAGCAGAAGGCTATAGCTGGATTGGATTTAAAGGAAAAAATAAGTTCTCTCTTTTACGTATTGCAGCTGTTATAATAAGTAAGTATTACACTCATATATGTACATGCACACACGTGCACAGTGTGTATATTATACTAATGATCCATAATAATCGAATCCTTTTTAAGTATAAAAAATTGTTCTGCCATATCAATTGGATATCAAATACAGATTCTAGAAATCCTATATATTAATTATTGGCTATTGAAGTAACATCTATGCACTTAAAAAAGACTTAATTAATGTGGGTCAATGTGCTAAGTATAAATAATTAATATAATTGTAGTTATTTAATTATTTAAATATTATATTCCAGCGGCAGTGCAAAAAACACATAGCTCAATCACGCTGTGTGACATTGAAGCAGTTATCAAAGCATGGCTTGTCAAAGCAAAGTTTAGAAACACTAAAAAGACGACGTAATCTAATTCATTTATTATGATTTATAATAAAGTGGTCACACATCAAGAATGTGAAATGAAACTCTAAGAATACGATGAAAAATTAATTTTATTTCAAGGAACGAAAATTAATTAATTTAAATAAATTAAAATTAACTTTTTTATTTTTAATTAATTAATTAATTAATTAGATTTTTTAACAGTTGTGATCTAATTTTGTTACGAAGTATCTCTTAACTTCATTATTTCTTTAGAAGTAATTTTTTTCATTATTATTTTAAAAGAGATGCAATATTTATCAATTCCTTGAATCATTAATTTAGTATTTGAGTTTAATTTTAGTATTTTTAGTAATTCTTAGTAATTCTTTAGTAATTCTTTATTTTATAATATTTGTTATAAATATTTACGTATGAAAATTAATTTAATATTAATATTTATAACGTTTTTTATACTAAGAAATACATGTGCAATAAAATTTAAAGTTTATAATTCTTTCAAATCTTATTACAAATTCTATTCCTAATACACAAAAATTCATATTACTTTATAGGAGTCTACATTCGTTTTATTTCCATTGGAAGCTGTTGAGAAAATAAAATTTATAATTCCACAATTTTCCATTATTTTTAAACAATAACGACAAAAAAACGGACTTACAAGAAAAATTATTTCACATGCATAAAGACACAATAAATTCTGCAAATCAAAATCCTAATATTTTATTTACTAGAGCAGATAAAGGCAGCATTACAGTCGCACTAGAAAAAGAATTTTATATAAAAAAAGTTGAGAGTCTCCTAGAAGACGATTCTACGTATACCATAGTTAAAAACATCCATCAACAAAAATAGAAAAAGACCTCAATATTTGTTTAAAAAAATGGTTGAAAAAAGACTTCATCAACAAAAAAGAATATTATTATTTATTTTCAAGCGACTCTTTTCTTCCTAAAGCTTATGGGCTCCCCAAGATCCACAAGGAAAATATTCCTTTTAGATTAATAGTTTCCTCAATAAATACTTCTCTATATAATATTGCTTCTTTCTTTCATAAAATTTTAAAAGATAGCCTTCCTAGAGCGGACAGTTTTGTAAATAACAGTTTTGATATATGCAACATTCTATCAGGGAAAACAATACAAGATACCGACATAATAGCTTCATTGGACGTTGTTTCATTATTTACTAATGTTTCCGTAGATCTTGCATTAACGGTATCAATAATAGATGGCATTTTATAGAGTCACACACAAAGATTCCCAAAAATGAATTCATAGGTATGATAAAATTTATATTAACTTCTACATTTTTCACTTTTAATAACATAACTTACAAACAAATTTATGGGACTCCTATGGGTTCCCCACTTTCTCCGATCATTGCCGATATAGTCATGCAGGACTTGGAAACATTAGTAATTAGTAATTTAAATTGCGAAATGACTTTCTATTTCCGTTATGTAGACGACATTATTTTATGCACTTCCGCTGACAATATTACATATGTTTTGAACGAATTCAACAATTATAACGATAGACTACAATTTACATTGGAAAAGGAGGATAATCGTTGTATAAGCTTTTTAGACATAATGATCAAAGTAATAGATAACAAAATTTATTTAGATTGGTATCACAAAAGACATTCTCAGGTAGATTACTTTCATTTTTTTCAAATCATCCGACTTGTCATAAAATAGGAACAATTTATAACTTGGTAGATAGAGCTTTATTACTATCACATCCGCAATTTCACAAAAAAATATAGAGAAAGCTATTAACATTTTGCTATCCAACGGTTATCCTCTTGATCTAATTTTCACAGAAATAAAACGCAGATTAAAAAATCTCTCAACTAAGAAATTTAACAAGCCTAATAATAACAATATAACAGATACTAATAATACTAATACTAACATTAAATATTTTGTCATACCATATATAGAAACAATATCTGAGAAAGTTGCTTCAGCAATAAGAAGACCTGACGTAGTGGTAGGATATCGTTGCATTAAAAAATTAAATGACTTCATAAAAGTTCAAAAGGACAAAAATAATTGCCCCACGAATTCTAACGTTATTTACAAATTGAATTGCAACGATTGTGACGCCACATATGTCGGACAGACAAAAAGACAGTTAGGAACGAGACTTAAAGAACATAAAAATAATATTAAATTAGACTCTGCTAGACATTCGGTTATCACGGAACACATTCTAAACGAACAACATACATTTGACTGGGACAATATTAAAATTATGGATCATGAAAAGAATTACCATAAAAGACTAATATCTGAAATGATCCACATTAAAGAACAGAAAAATGGAATTAATTTAAATACAGACACCGAATTGTTAGACAGTAGTTATTTTGACATACTTAAAAAATTTGCTGAATCATAATTTAGAAAAAACATTGGTAATAAATAAATACTTCACGCTCTCTATTTTGATATTTGGTATTCAGACTTCGCAACACACACTTGAAATATCGGGGAAAAGGACTTGTTAAAACGATAATGTAAGTTGAAAGATTTTTTAATTTTCTCTGACATTGATTTAATTCGCGTATTATATCCGTAGCATGCTCAAATGTCGCATAACTTGGCATCTCAGACCAATCGCCTTGCATATCTATTGGTCAACAGCGAAGAATCGTTTCAATTTTATATTTTAATATTTAACTAACTTTGTATTTTTAACATCTAACTTTATATTTTAATATTTATTTTTATGTATTGATAAAGACTGTAGTGCAGTCGAAACGTTTACAATTTATATCGATTCTGTAACGGAATGTTAATTTAATGATTTAACTATTAATAAAAAAATTTTTACATCTTATTTATTTGCTCGTTTAGTTGGCCTACTATATATGATTGTTTAATTTTGTAAAATTTATAATATTGTATATATGTTATGTGTGTATATAGGAATAAAACAAACACAAGCTATGTGCCTCTATACGTACTCTATACGTATAGAGTATAGAGTATAGAAACACATATAGCTTGTGATCGTTTATTCCCATATACATAACATATATTATAAATTTTATTTTCCCAATAGCTCCTAATGAGAAGGAAAACGAATACAGGCAGAATGTCCTATGAATATTTCGTAAATATTTCTAAAATCTGTTTTGCATATTACAAGAATATTTTGTGAATGTATTCCGTATATTACAAGAATATTGCAAAGAATATTTTGTAAATGTATTCCGCATATTATAAGTAGTCCCATTTTGTTATTCTCCGCACATTTATATAATGTTCTTTTCATTATATCAGTACATTCTCAGAATATTCTAATATTCTCGAAAAATATTTATAGAATCTTTATAGAATATGTTGTGTTATCTGGGGCGTGTCCGCGAAAGAAGTTTAAAAAGTATTCAATTACCGATCTTGTTTTGTTGTTCCGTATAATTTCTGTTAGTATAATATTATCAAAAATTTAGTTAAAGTATTTAAACATTGTTATTATTGATAAAACGTTAATAGCGTAATTCCGTCATTCCGTGATAGTCGCCGAAATATTACTACTATAATTGTTGTTCATACCGCTAATTTATATATTAATATTATCCTACTTTTATATTGTCCAATTATACTTATCATATGTACCATTGTTAGTTTTAAGTGTCAAATATATATATATCTCAAATTCTAACACCACGTGTATGACTCTCTATACCTCTCTCTCACCCATAGACCATCAATCCTATAGACCCGCGACTCTGTATGAAATTTGGAGAAGTGACTTTAAGTACCGTTCACATTAGTATCGTGGCGCGTTACATGCGCCTGGCGCCCAACTGTACCGTGAGTACCAAACGTACCTAGTACGAATAATTAACTCTTTCATTACCAAATTTTACCGTATTAGGGTTCAAATTAGTAGATATTTAAATTGAACGCTCCCCTGTCCGAACTTGGCGTTTCGGAGCAAGAAAAGACGTGCAATACAAATATAAATACATATTCATATTACATTGTGTAATCCCTTAAAAAAGGAAAAAGGGGCGCCCAGTTAACGGCATGCCAGTAACAAAAAATTACCCATTGCAAATTCTAAGACTAATTGTAAATCTTTTAAAAATATTTTTATAAAAATGGTTGTACAAGATAGTTATTTTTATCTATAGTAAGCAAAGAGGACCGTCGTATTTTAATTTGAAATATGACAGAGGTGGTGACGGGTTTTTTGCTCATTTATTTAGATGTTTATCATATACAATGAATGATGATAAATCTCTAAAAACTTACTTTTTAAAAAAAAAAAAAAAAAAAAAAGCGCCCAGTTAACGGCGCTCAGGGAACGGCCAGTAACAAAAAATTACCATTTCAAACCCATGTAGAATCCTATGAAAAATGAATTATTGCAAACCCATGTAGAATTCTATGCAAAATAAACCATTGTAAACTTATGTAGAGAATTCTATGCAAAAAAACCATTGTAAACTTATGTAGAGAATTGTATGAAAAATTATCCATTGTAAACCCATGTAGAATTTTACTACAAAAGTAATGATAAAAAAAAAAAATTGTGCCAAGTGAAAGTAGAAACTTGTACCAGGGAAAAATTAAAATTGCAATATATATTAAAATCATACAAATTAAATGAAATTTCGACCTAACTGGCCAGTACAATTTAATTAGAAACACTAGGTTTCGACCCTTAAGTACGGGTCCTTTTCAAGTGTAACTGCACAATAAAAAATACAATGATTAAGATATGAAACAATAATTTACAAAGTTGTTAACGAAGAAATTTAAAATAATATAAAAATAATGTAATGTACCTTTCAAGATGTTAATTAGACAACAGTAAAATTATTAATGTTAAACCGGAGACAAGTAAATCAATTTAAGTCAAACGTTAAAAACACAATAATATCAAAGTTCTACAATACAACGAAATAAATAAATAAAAATAGACAATCATATACTGTGGATCAACTTATCATAAATCAGATTTAGATTTTCTGTGTCTTTTTGCAAATTAATGTTATTCTTTAATATTTTATAAAAAAACATCTCCGCTAATTCTCTCTTCTTCTATGTTTTTCACAATGCAAAATCCTAGGTTCCATTTACTTGAAATCATGGTCA